ATCATTGAGCCGTGAAACGGAACGTATATACACCGTATACACAATTAAACGCTCCATGGAGAGATGATCGGAACGTACTGCACGATCAGCCACCTCTGCCGACTCCTTTGCACCCAATGAGGGTACATGTACAACAGCAAGTGGTCTGCCGACTTCATTTGGATCCGATTGTACGGTTAAACGATAGCCCAACTCAGATTTTGAATCCTTACTGGTAAGTTCTCGCCAATACGATACCGTTATTTTTACACCAGGTACGTACTCCTCTACATTAATGTTGTCATCCAAACGTTCATAACTCAGCCGTAGAGTTTGTGTATAAAGTACTTCTAATTGCAGCGATTGACAAAAATAGTGCAGACAATTGTAAACCTCGCTAAGTGCATTTGGATTTTCTACCAAGCGTGCTTGAATAAGTTGATGAATATAATTTACTTGTAACTGGTGCACCAAAGCTTTGCCATCTAATAAATAATTATATAAGATATGTAAAATATTAAATTATAAAACTTCGTTATACCGCCAGTTTCTTTGTCCTCAACAAGTATGTCTATATCCAAAAGTCGCCATGGTACATTGTTGCCATCACCCATGACTGTTAGCGAAACATTAAATTCGTGCTTTACTTCAAAGGTCACACGTCCATTTTTGATCTAATTCAAATAATTTCAATATATAAATGCATATTTAAATCTTTTAAAATTACTATTTACCTTAAATTCTCTCATTTGCGGTAACAACTTGCCGGTAACTAACCGATGTTGTATCACTTGATTAAGTCTCAAAAGCGTTTGTTTCTTTTCTGCTGGAGTTATCGGATCTGGTGGCACAATGCGTTCGCGAATACATGTGGGTAGGCGATTATATGTACCTGTAGTAAGTACCTCAACAGCCGCAGGGATATGGAAATTTGGCAGACGAGCACGTATTAGTGTCTCACGAGACATGCGTGCCAACATATCTGCTGTTTCTATAAAAAGCATATTTTGTTTGTCCAGGAAGCTCATGATATTCTGTCAATACGAAATACTATAAATAAAGAAATTGAAATGAAATGTTATTATTTTACTTACGGCGGATTTATCCACTTTCGAAACCGAATTCGCCCATTTGACCAAAGAAATAAGGCGTATAAATAGCTGGCGCGTACGTGCGGAGAAATTGTAAATTTCGATTTTTCGCTCCATGTCCGTTTTCCGCGGAAGCCTGCAAATGTTTATATAATTAGATACTAAAGATATATACTCGTATATGAAAGATATGAATAGGAAGACGCCATAAATGAAGATTTAACCCGTCATAAAATTTACTTACAATTCAGCAAGTACCGTGAGGTCATGATAAGTTCTTTGTATAATAAAATCAATTAGTACTGCAAGTGAAATTGTGTTCATACGTGGACCGCCCTCCTGACCGGAGGGTAGATAACCAGCCATCGGACCTTGAAATTTTCCCTCCAAGGGCTGGGGCGCCGGTGCCATATTGTATTTAAAATAATGTGCACAACTTTAGAATTGGCACTTTTCTTTATTACTTTATTCGCTTAAGATATATTTATTTTTGTGAACTGAAAAAAATTATACTATGTATGTTATGTAGTAGGCATCATTAACTTTCCAAACGAATGATTTGGTTTCCTTTTGTCGGTACTTAACTAGAAAAAAATATAATATATATATAAATATTCACTGCACTCAATATTCAAGAGAACATCAATATAATGGTTTTGCTTTATTGTGTTTCACTGTTCTCATTAGTTATGTGCACTTTATTATTATCACGTCCTAGCTAATATTTTTTTTTTACAATATAATCACAGCAAATAATTGAAATTATTTTCACAAGACGCGACAAAAATTAATACGAGGCACGCTGAAATGTCATTTTACTACCTGTCAAAAAATTCACTTATTGTTGCCGGACTATTTTAATTATAATATAAATATGAGTTAGACCAAGTTCAGATGCGGAAAGTTTTTTGATGGCAACTGGTACTATATGAGAGAGAGGCTGACGATGAAAGGGAAGAGCACCATATTGCTTAAACATTCGTAAGCTATGGAGAACATCGCATAAGAATAGGACTATTTACACATATGTCAAAAATACACGTACTCTTGTAATGAATATATTAATTCATCTTTACCCTCAAACATTTGTTAAACTATAACAAACTTTATTTTGGAATATTGACAACACTGAGTCTACCAGCTGGATTTGTTACAAAATTTTTGGTATGTCATTTGCGCAAACAAATTAGGGAATACAATTTTTCCGATTTTGTTATTTTGAGTTCACTGAAGTCATTTTGCCTTATTAATTGTGCAATCAAATCGTGGTGTTGAAAAGTGAACTCTGACCTTAGATTTTTGTAGCAATGGGTTTTTTGAATTACGTGTTTGGTCCGAAATTGTATCAGGAGTATGGCTTGGATAAGGTATATCTATACATAAAGAAATTATCTATAGTTTTCTAAAACGTAAACATAATCTGATTTTAGAAACTTTACGAGCCCGGTGGCTTGGAGCGCCTTGGTGATCAAATAATATCCACGGTAAGTTTTCTCAGCCTTTCATGTATGGCAATTTCTTCAGGCATACATAATTTACCCAATATTAACTAGAGGTTATGTATGTATTTACATTTATATAGTATAATGACTTGTCAATTACAGCTTTCGTTAATGTGGAATATCAGTTATTACACTTCGCCGTTTATAGTGACTTTCTTGTATAAAAGAGGCTATTTGGTGGCAGACTCAATTTCGTCGTTCGCCAAGTTCTCTACCAGTATTGGTATTATTGTTGTTATAACACTATGTATCCGTGGTTTTGGTCGCACACAGTCCAAATCATATGTAAAAATGATTAAGGCAATTGAAATGTCCAAGCTATCTTCCTCCGATGAAGAAACAAAGCGTGCACTTCGAAAGTTCGATTTTGATTTCCGTTCATGGATGGTAGACTTCGATGCACGTATTGTGCAAGGGTAAGAGCAGTGTTATTGAAACATACGAGTAGAAGCAAAATAATTGTAATATTCATTTCAGAGATGATAAGAAAAGACAATTGATATCTGCCAGTAGCCGCGACAGCCGACAATTAAGATTTGCCAATTTACCTTGCAAAATTGCAGCTTATTTTGCCATTCACACTTTTGGCATACGAATGATTTATCCAGGATACATTAAAATATTGCAAAACTATTTGAGTAAGTAATATTTTGTAAAAAAAAGGAGACTACATAAACAATTATTGTCCCTATTTGCAGATAGTTTTTTGATAGAAGGACGAGCAAAATTGGTTGAGGACCACAATGCCGTGAGGTACAAAGTGAAAACCGTAGATTTCAATGAGATCGATAGCATTTTTGTAGACAACCGTCAAAACGGTAGCACAAATGGCAATACCCTTGTAATTTGCTCCGAAGGTTTGTTCCTACTTTCATAATTTTCATATAAAAATTTAAAACTCCTCGTTATAATACTAATTTACTTAATTTTTAAAAGGAAATGCCGCGTACTATGAAATCGGTATAATGAGTACACCGCTCTCGCTAAAATATTCTGTATTAGGATGGAATCATCCTGGTTTTGCCGGTAGCACTGGTGCACCGTATCCTGAGCAGGACAAAAACGCTATTGATGCTGTTGTCCAATTAGCAATTCACCGTCTTGGCTTTGCTGTTGAAGACATCATTTTGTACGGTTGGAGTATTGGTGGTGTGAGCGCATTGTGGGCATCAAATCTATATCCCGATGTGAAAGGAGTGGTATGAATTATTCTATAATACAATTACTATGTGAAGTTCATGCTGACATTTATGTAGATTTTGGACGCAACATTCGATGATATATTGTACCTTGCTCAATCGCGTATGCCTGAGAGCCTATCAGGTATAGTCAGACTTGGTATACGTGAATATTGCAACTTAAATAATGTGGAATCTATACAAAATTATAATGGACCAATATCTCTTATACGCCGCACTGAGGATGAAATTATTTCAGAGTATGTAATTTTTAGTTGATAGCATTTATTTGCAGTTTAATATTCATTAATTACTATTTGAAATAATATAGAGATAATCGAATTGAGACAAATCGTGGCAACTACTTAGTTCTAACGCTACTAAAGTATCGTTATCCGCTAATTTTTAAAACTAGTCAGTTAACACGGATAAAGAAAGTCATATCACGCCCTGTGGATCCGAAGAGCTTTTCATGTAATGTATTGTACATATAAATAATAAAATTTATGATTATTGTTTTTGTTCGCGAAAGGAATTTCTGTAACAATAATATGCCATCATTGAAAATTTTTAGTAAACAACGATGATCTCTGCATGTCACGGCTCATAACGTATGCTTCCGATCAGGGTAAATCTTTTCCAATGCTAATCGGTGAGGATTATACAGAGGACACTCGCGACCAAATGGCCGATTTCTTAGTGAGTACTCGAAAAATGTATTGCTTTTTAAATAATACCAATTCTTGCTATTTTTGTTGCAGCTGAGGAAACATTTCCGTGACTACAAATCTACACATTGCACCCCATTACCCAAAGACTTCTTTGACATTCCTTGGGACATTCCCATTGAAAACGGTTTTGTTTTTACTTAATTCACTTTAAGCATGTGTGGTAGCCATGACTGAGGTTGAGCAAAATGCTTAATTGTACACAAAGCCGAAAAGTACTAAATATTCGTTGACCATTGCTAGTCTATAGATATGTTTTGGTTTTGTATACCATAAGTGTGAAGGCATTTAGTTTTTACTTTATCAATATTATTTCTATGAATAACAAAAATGTTTTTTTGGGGCGCTGTCATAATGAAATTTTAATAAAAATGTCAGTGTATACATATACTATATATAAAATAAATAATGTAAAAAAATTAAACCGAATTAAATGACAAAAACAAAAAAAAAATTGGTTCAAAACAGTTAAAGCGATATTCTATTTGCATCTGTATTTTGTTTTTTTTTTGTAATCTGTTTCCTTTGCAAGCTTAATATGAATACTAGAAACATATACAAGTGGTTAGTTCTACTATCGGCAGTTTCATTAGCCAGCTGCTTTTGGAGTAATCGTGTTATAGAAGACTTTATAAATAGTTTTTCAAACGTTGCAGAGGTATTTTTCAACTACACTGCAAGCCCTTTCTGTGACTTATATTTTTACTCAACATCCAGGACGATGAATGTGATCAACCCGATGCGTGTGATGAGATGCAAGTTATGTTGCATCTGGCTTGCATTCGTGTGACAAGTCCCGAACGTATATTACTTTTATTGACCTCGGACTCGTTGCCTAAGGCTTGCACTAAAACATCCAGTGTGATGCAACACATAAACGAAACTCTAACAGATTGTGTGCCACTACCAACAACGAATTTGTATATGCGTTTATATCGGGCTTTAATATTCTTCTATGGACAAATGTGTGGCCCAGCTGAAACCAAGTCGAAACGTTGGTAAACCAACATGGTCTCCATCTATGAAATTATGAAATTACATTAAATAAAAACTCTACACAAATATTCTATTTGATATGCAGATTTAGAAAAGTATCGCAGCTGCATAACGGAACTTCGCGACGATCTAATTGATTGCGAGGGCCCTGCTGATTGGTTTGAGAAACGCAGTAAAACGTATGTTTGCAGGTGATGATGCAATTAATGAAATTATCAGTTGAAATAGCAATTGTTTTACACACATAGGTACACTCTAATACACTGGAAGACTCTTAGATGATAGTTTAAACATATTACCATATTTAATGTGTGAATATACCAACACTATTGCCTACGCAAAGTCTAACACTCTGAATCAGGAAATATACTTAGGGATAGGTGAGACTTTTTAACTATAATTATGACTTGATTGCTTTGTATAAAGATGACGACTAGTTTTTTATTTTGTGACTGTTTTTATTATTTTGCTAAAAAGCAATATTTTTTTTAGACTATGAAGTTAAGTTTCGTCGTCATATACATACATATAAAATTATAAGAAATATTTTTTGGTGCAAAATCTTTTAGAAGTTATTAGGTTTTTCAATATTTAATTTTTCTTAAATTCTAGGTTTGAAATATATTTAAAATAATGTTTTACAATATTTTATTCTCTACGGTAAGTTTTATATGCAAACGTTAAATATACACTTCACCTAGTCGATACGTTCTTCCTATATACATATGAGTGTCCGAATTTGTTGCATACCTATTACTCTTTCTGCATAATTTTAAGAATTTAAATCGTTTTTGAAAATTTTATTTACGAAATCCTAAAACATTATTTTTAGTCCGAAATTATTTGTTAACATTTTGTAGACAATTCACCGAAATTATTAATTGTGATTATGTCAGAGCGGCAATGCTTTGCGGTCTTAAGCCAGCGCGTTTGCTTCGAAGTTTTGCGGCCGAAGTTATAAACAAAGCGCTATTGGTAAGTTATGGTAGTTTTGTTTTTAATACTTATAAAATAGTTTTATAAATATTAATATATGTTTTCTATTTCAATTATATCTTTGAATTACTATCATAGTCCAAGTGCCCGGTGTCATCTACGTTGCCACACGTGAATAATCCGATGTCAGATGGTGGCAGTAGAAGCTTCCCACACGTTTCTCCTGTTCAAGTTTATATATTTTTACTAGCTTTTATGTTACAATGTTTAATGCAATAACAAATATTATTACAGAAACAAAACCAAAAATTTACGAACTTCTTGATTTTTTTCTAAGAATTCTTTTTGGATCCTCCAAAGCCAGAAAAACCCATAATAGCTGCCATATCATCAGACAAACCGCCACCCAGTAGATCTGTATCACTGGCTTTCCTTTTACGTTCTTTCCGTTTTTCTTTTCGATGTTCCTTGTAACGTTCTTCCTCCTCTTTAGCTTCACGTAGACGCCGTTCCAGCTCATAATCTTTTTGTTTTTCTTCCATCTTTTTTTTATTCGCCTGAAATCGTTCTTTTACTTGATCAACGGTACTGCGCTCCACTTTCATGGACATGCCCAAATTACGTTGATGCTTTTTTCCATTGATATGATCAAGAAAATTAATTGAGTCTTTAACGACACAATCGCATACATTGCAATAGTAGCCACCAGATTGTGAGGTAGGAGTGTTCTTGTTTATAACAACGCTTTTGCCGAGTTTACTATCAAGATCGACTTTGTAGTCCCGCCGCTTTAGGTTCTCGCGTTGTATGGGCTCTATAAGTTTAAAATATTTTTATTCCCAATTTATATCAAGTAATGCAATTATTTTGTAGGAATTTGTGTGTTTACATATCTACATGTCATTAAATTTATATATATAAAAAATATAACCTTCATCCTTTGGATTTGCCTTAGCCGCCTGGTTTTGTAACCTTTCCTGTGCCAATCGTTGGTATTCTGTCTTATCCCATTTTCGGCGATGATCATCTGGTCGCATAGACATTATAAGCTGTTTATTAAAAAACCTTCTTTTATTTACAAATATAATTCCACAAATTATCACAACTCAAGACAATTGTAAACAAGACTCAACAATTTCCTTCCTACTCCTATTTGTGTTCCACAAAACAGTGTTGTCGTGTGGACTTCTTAGCACTCCTCTTCCTCCACATGTGCTTACTACCAAAAACAACTTCTTCATTTCCTCTTTAATTCAATATAAGCAAATATAAAAAATAATTTTGATTAGTTTAAATGAAAATAATTGTAGAAATGGCATAACATAATACTTAATATTATAATTTAGTTAACCTGCGAGTAAGAGTACCAGCCTAAAATTTATTATTTTGGGGCAAATAAATGCAACCATGTTTAAGGTGTTTAATAATACGTTAGTAGCGCGTTAAATAGACTCAAAGAAATTGTTTGATGCAAGAGAAGAGCCTAAAAACACTGTAGTGAGGAAAGCTGCGTAACAGACAACCATTATAAAGTATATGTTTATTTAATTCTTTTAATTCAATATTGGATATGTTCTGTAGTTTAGAGTTTCTGGTGAATTATCGTTTGAAATTGCGCTAAATAGAAGTTAATATAACATTGTTGGAAGTAAGCTATTAAAATGGGCTGTGCCGAAAGTAAGGATGGAGATGAGCCCCAAATGAATCGTCCTAAATACCGAACATGTACAGATACGTTCTGGCTTGCTACATTTATACTATTTTGGTTATTTCTGGTGAGTAATTGAATAAAATTTAACTCCTATTAATTTAGACGCACCGGTCGTAAAAGGAAAGTGTCGAGAGTCAGTTGAGTTTTAGCCAATTGAATTTTTTAAACACATACCTACAAGCAAATATATTACCTATGAGCGAAGATGATGGCGTCACTGTTTTAGACTTTTTATTTATTGTTTTTGTTCTTTTTTGCCGCTTAACAGTTTTAAAGCAACTAGCAAAATGTATAATTATTATTTAGATATGTATGTACTGTATGTATGTATGTAATAAGATATTCGCATCCTCTTTATTTATATGTCATAAGTAAATTTTAGCTCATATTTCATTTCCACACTCGGGATTAAAAGGCGGTTTACTTTCTTATATGTTTATGTTGCCGTGGTTTCAAAATTTGTAAGATTGAATGTTGGTATGCCTGCACTTATATCTTTAGTTTGTGGAGACAAAATAACGCATCATAATATGCAAATGTATGAACATAGAAATATTTGTGCTATACATATGTATATGTATGTATACGCATGTCGTTGGATCACGATAATACGAATAACTATTTCTTCTCCTCAAATCCTCATTATGAGAAATTGCAATTCTACTACACGCATGATTAACCAATTATAGCTCAATGTGTATATACGTGCTTGCAACAATGCAATCGTAAATATATTATATTGCTGCTAATTGAATATAACTTTTTATTATTACATTTTCAGATTGTTATAGCGATATTTTCCTTCGTTTATGGCAATCCACTACGTGTGATTAACGGTTATGACTCATTCGGAAATACTTGTGGCGTAAAGCGCAATGAAAAATTCACGAATTTTCCACTTTCCGGCATGAACACAATAGATAAACCGCAACTGTTTTATTTTGATTTTAAAAATCCGCGTCAATCTATTAAAATTTGTGTAAAAGAATGCCCTTCAAGAAATATCTCTGACGTAAAGGAACTTTACAGATACTACATGGACACCAATACAAAACTTTGCCGCTATGACTTCAATATGGATACAATTCTTAATACAAATATAAAAAATATTGACGAATATTTCAATTTTTTGGGTCCTTGCCCAAAACTTCCAATTTATGAGGAGTAAGTAAAATGTGAATAGATGAACGTGAAATTGATTGACTTAAAAAAGTACGTTTTGTTCATTTTCTTAGATCGCCGGTTTTACATCGTTGTATGCCGAAAGGTAACAACGCTAAGGAATTATACAATTTGCTTAACTCATGGGATGTCGCTCAACAATTTTTGGCAGATATATATTCCACTTGGCACATTGTTGCTATAATATGTGGTATTTCCTTATGTAAGTATTTAAGCAAGTTTGAATATATGGAATACCGTGTGGAATTATCCAATGTATTTGTTTGTAGTAATCTCAATTGCATTGGTTACACTAATGCACTGGATGTCGCGCATTATTTCATGGCTTATCTGTGTGCTGGTTATTGTGGCCAGTTTGGCTTTGACGGCTGCGCTCTGGTATGCATATTATAGCATACGAAATAAGTCACACACAAACGCTCAATTTTCAATGTTGGAAGAATTTATAAGAAATGAAGAAGCCGTTTACATTCTCGCTATATTAGCCACCATCGCTTTGGTGAGTGAAATGCATTTACCGTGTAGGTAATAATTAAAAACTCGTTTCATAATACATTCCTTTTTGTATATAACTGTACTTTCAGATAGTTCTCGTTGTTATTATTTACTTCCTTAAAAATAAGCTATCTGGTTTATCGGCGCTCTTTGAAGAGGCTGGCATATGTATGATGAACTTACCGGGCTTACTAATAGCTCCGTTATTGGCGTTTGCGGCGTTAGCTTTGTTTTTGGTATTCTGGGTATTGGTGGTAGTTTGCATTGCAACTGCAAGCGCACCTGGACAGAGTCCAATCGCGCCATTCGACAACACCGCAGCCCATCAACAACCATTTCCCACCGACATTACTCCACCGAAGAACACCACAGATGCCAGTTTTAAGAGTAAGTTTTATATATGCAAATGTGATGACAAAATATATTTCCTTGTGTTAACAAACAAAAGTACCATAATTATGTGAAAATATGTATTAGCTCATTTTTAAATTGTTTGTCATGTTTAATTGAACCGTAGCTATGTTTTGTGTTTCCGTTCTAATGTGCTTGATATTTTCCCTTATTTAAATCGTGCCTTCCCTTGTCATTTGTGCTAAAAATGTAAGTTGTCCGGTTTTCTAGAATTGATTTTATTAAGCTATTACTATTGCTATTGTTTTTTTGCTATTAAAATTTTTACTAAATTATTTTTTCAATATAACTGTATTTATCTTTACAGCAATTTTACGCGTAGAATACACTGACGCAAAGGCAATAAAAAGCATGTTTTGGATTTATGTGATTGGTCTTATTTGGACGACTGAATTCATATTTGCTTGTCAGCAATTTTCACTTGCGGCGGCTGTTGCTTTTTGGTATTTCCAAAAGCCCACTTCCACTCCAACTACATACGCTATCGGAAAGCTGCTTAAATACCATTTAGGCACCGTGGCCAAGGGTTCGTTTGTGATAACGATTTTCAAAATACCACGACTTATTCTAACATATCTTTATGCCAAGTAAGTATTAATGTGTGTGTTGTACTTATTATCGCCAACTTATTTTTTATGAATTTATAATTAATTTTATTCGATTAATAATTTAATGTTGGTCTGCTCAAAAAATTGTTGAAAATAAAAAAAGTTAATAAAATATAGCAGTGAATATTAAATAAATTGTCTACTACCACATTTTATGTATGCAGATTTAAAAAGGCTGAAGACAAAGGCTCCGAATGCGCCTCTTGCTGCCTCAAATGCTGCATTTGTGGTTTTTGGCTGCTCGAAAAATTCATACGCTTCTTGAATCATAACGCTTATACAGTTGTTGCTATCGAATCTATAAATTTTTGCCCAGCAGCAGGCATTGTAAGTTTACATTTCGGGTTGTAACTGCAATTGTTAATCAATGTGAATGGTTTTTTTTAGGCATGGAATGCAATGGCAACCAATGCCCTACAAGTGGCAACTATCAACAGTATTGGTGACTTCATACTCTTTCTGGGCAAAGTTCTTGTTGCAGCTCTTAGTGGCCTCATTGGCATATTCGTGCTGAAGGATCGTCCTGGACTAAATTTCTATATGGCGCCAGTAATCTTTATAATAATTTTCTCATTTTTCATAGCACACATAATATTGACACTTTTTGAGGCAAGTGAATAATTTTATCCAAATATTGCAGTAATTCATTAAGTTATTTGCAGATGGTAGTTGACACACTATTTTTATGTGTTTGTGAAGATAAAACAATCAATGGGCGTGGCGGTCGTTGGGCACAAAGTAATTTGGCCAAATTAGTTGGCGAAGAACCGTTGCAACCTGGCGAAGAACCACCAATTCAAGTAGTGGAAATGATGCCTATCAATAAGGAACCATTCAGCATGACCAGAATGCCGAGCACAGATGTTGTTGACGGTATTACACAGTAGATAATTTGTAGTATGATTATAATCAACATTCGTTGCGACGGAAAGTAGCCATTCGACAGGACTAAATCACGCACAGGCCTTTATTGCAGTAAAGTAAAATTGAGTCAAAACATACCTCAACTTTGCAAAATAAACTCAATTAAGCGATTCGGCAAATAACAACGCATATTTATATTATAAGATATTTATTACCGTGCATTCTCTTGAAAAAAATATTCACCATAAATGTAATATTTTTCATTCACTAAGATAAATTACGATGCATATTTTATTAAGTTAATATTGTACGTACATAAATTATACCGTACAAGATACAATATTTTTTTAATAATGTTCCATTTTATTTAGATATACCATATCTAAATAACCAATTATAAAAAACAAAGATCAAATAAATTTTTTATTACAATTCATTTAAATCTTTCTTATTCGAAGCTTTTGCTTTCTTTTTCGCTATTATTTCAACTGCAGCTTTTAGTTGTTTCTCCTTGATTTTCTTGGTCAATGCTGACTTGGATGACTTATCTTTACTTGGATCCACAACTACCTTTTTCTTGGCTTTCTCTGTTAAAAAATAACGTAAATTAGTACAAAAAAAAATATTGAACGAAGAATCGAAGAAGAAATCTGTATTATTTATTTATATAATAACTCACCCGCTAATAATTTTGCTGTGGTTATAGCATCCTCATTTGCAAACAACTCCTCATACTCTAAACCTTCATATGCCTCCTTTGGTCTATTAACTTCTTGATGCACTTTCTGCTCTACACGATTCACGTATCTTTCCTTTGCAGCCTTCTTTAACATTTGACGTTGACGAGATGGACTTATATAGTTTGGATTTTCCCATATAGCATTGCCAGTAAATGAACCTTCAAATATTTTAACGGGGTTCATAACAAATCTAGGTCCGATCTCGGCTAAGCCACCATCTTCTGAGAGAATTTGAAAGTTTCTGAACCATATGCGATTATCCAGATATGTAAACGTGTAGACATGGTCTATAAAAGGTTGACTCTTTGGATGATGGTTAGGTACGCCGAATGTTTGTGTAAACAACTCTTTCAATAACTTCAAATGTGGGACTTCCTCAAATTTAGTATCGAATGATAATAATGGCCTAGATCCGCGTAAACAGTTACCCGTCATTTTCAGTTCTGCCATTGTATGGATATTCTCAACAAGGAATTTAGCCGAGGGTCCTTTAGCCGTATTAGCCACCCACATATATAAGTCACGTTTTCGGCGTCCTTCGAATAGTATTGTTTTGTTGCAGTGCTTCATTTCACACATTTCATTAATTACAGATAGCGTTTTCGAACGTTCCATTTTTGATTCCGGACGATGATGTGGCATTAGACTTTTTATATCTCGCAGCAGATGGCGATCACGATGATTAATACCTCTAGCAGCAAAAACTAGAACACGCTGCTTATTTATCCATTTTTCCTACAAAATAATATTGTATGTTCATATAATAATCTTCATGGTCTACTCAGTTTTCTTACTCTTTTAGGTACGACGTGCTCCGAAGATCGCTGTGCTGGTAGTGGAAGATTTTCATCCATAGGCACAATCTCAAGTTGTTGAACTTTTTTCTTATTTTGTATCTTTCGACCCATAATTTAATAAAATAAATAAACTTTGATGAATATTAATGCACGTGTAGAGAGTTTTGAAAACAAATGATTCCAACAGTGAACAGATAAAATTATCGATATACTGCTATTGAACTACAATCCACAAAATATAAAGGGTGTTCATATAATAGTATAAATTTGTGAATGAAAAATAGTTTAAGATATTTATTACTTTGATTTTATAGCTCTTATTACATTACATTTTGTCATAGGATTACGGTACATATATGCAATGTTCAGATTTACGAATAGACATTGTGTATATTGATATTAAATAAAAATATTTTTATTGGCGAAAATTTGCATAAAACTGTTACAAAGAAAGAAAAAATACAAAAAACTGGTTTAAGTAAATACATGCAGAAAATATTATCGCAAATATTCAATAAATTATTAAGCACCACTGGAATAAAATAAAATTTGAATCACTATTTGTGAATCGATTATTAGTTTGATAATACACATTCCTATTACCGGTATACATACTTTTATCCACGCCATTTTATCTAGAACAAATTAAAATTTTTGAACATTTTCAAAATAAAATTAAAAAATTAGTCCAAAAAAGCGATTTTTACGTAAAAACCAATACTTTTATTATATTCGTAATGTCTGATTATCGGTCACAATCACGAGATGAACATCGTGATAGTGGACGTGGCGGTGGTGGACGGGATTATTCGAGCGATGATGATCCGCCCATGTCGCGTCTCTTCATAATTTGCAATAAAGCACATACCGAGGAAGATTTCCGTGATGCATTTTCTCCATATGGTGATATCGAAGATATTTGGGTGGTAAAGGATAAAAATTCGGGGGAAAACAAAGGAATAGCCTATGTAAAATTTGCCAAAACTTCGGACGCTGCTAAGGCACAAGAAGAGATGAATGGCAAAACCATTGGTAAAATGGATCGTACCTTGAAGGTGTTAGTAGCAGCAAAGTAAGTTCAATTATGTGGTACGCTTTTCCTATTAATAAACTTTTATTTATCTGCCTATAGTCGAAACCAAGGTTCAAACAAGTCTGAGAATGAACAGGAAAAGTATGTGCGTTTATTCATAGTTATATCGAAATCAGCAACGGAAGAGGAAATCAGAAATGAATTCTCACAATGGGGCGATGTGGAAAATGTAACGATAGTTAAAGACAAATCCTCAGGATCTCCGAAAGGATTTGGTTATGTTCGATTTACAAAGTAAGCATTGCAAGAAAGTTGGTTGTGTCACAGATATTCGTATATTATATTAATATACCTTAATACCCTTAGATTCTATCATGCTGCAGTAGCCTTTGAAAACTGTCCCCCAAAGTATAAAGCAGTATTCGCTGAACCAAAAGGTTCAACACGATCTCAAAGAGATCAATACGGTCGACAAGCGGATGATAACCCACTTATTAGTTCCGGACGTAGTGGTGGCGGTGGTGGAGGTAGTGGCAGCGGCTCTTATAACAATGGCAACTTCAACAATGACTGGAATTGTTCTTTCAATAGCGATATGGCGGCATTCCTCCGCATGCAGAATGTGCCAGTACCACAACCAACATGTTTAGAAGTGATTGCCAGTCATTCCGTGAACCAGGATCAGTTATGGCGATTATTTGATATAATACCTGGCTTGGATTATTGCCAAATAACCAGAGAATGTTCGTTCGGCTACATTTTATTTAAGTATGACTTTATTTGTTTGTTTAATATTTTCAGATGGGCCCAGAACTAATGAAGCTATAGTGCTTTACGATAACCCTGAGGCAGCTATTTATGCAAAGTATGTTTAAAAAGTATTATTATAAATGAATATGAAATAATATATATGATATTAAAATTGCAGAGACAAATTGCATGGGTTAGAATATCCAATGGGGGAGCGTATCATTGTTAAAGTGGCCGGCATGAGTTCAGCAAGAATGGACACATCTTTTATAGACAGTATGCCAGCTATTATATACATATGCAAGAAATCGCATAAATAATTTTAAATTTTTCTTTTTTTTAATAGAGCGTACTAAAAAGGATTCAATATGCAATGTCCCATTGCCACCTGCCCAGCCCATGGTATCACCCGATTCAACAGTAGCACAGCGTTTGTTTATCGTTTTAGCCGCGGTAAGTTTGAATATTAAACAAGACGTCCAGTTTTTGTTTGTCCACTATACATACATGTGTATATATTTGTACGTTTAATTACAGAATCTTCCGCAGTCTATATTGAAGAATGTTTTTTCTTGTTGGAAGGGTTTAATCGATGTTTACTTGCTACCGAATAAAAATTGCGGCTACGTTAAATACGCGGATAGAGATAGTGCCCAAAAAGCCATTCAAACATTGAATGGTGCAGAAATTTGTGGCACAAAAATTAAGGTAGATTCCATTAAATTGATGATAAGTACTCTTATAAAGTAGAGAAATTATATTTTAGGTAATGGAAGCCGAAGAACGAGGTAATGGGGATGGCGATGATAATGGGAGGAAACGCTTGCGAAGAAATTAAACGTAAGAAAATCTTTCGAACGTAATTTTATTTTATTTTATTTTTCTTTGCAAAAAAAAAAATTCAACAAATGACAGAAAATGTCAAAAATTTGTAACTGGTAAGTAAAATTTCATTTCAATTTAAAAATTGTAAATTTTTCAAACAGACTGATCACTAATATTTGACCGTCTTATTATTTAAGTATATTTTTTTTTTTTTTAAAGTATATGTTTCTAGAACTAATATTTGCAGGTTAATGAGCGTATTTTGTTTTTCTTTTTCACAGACATAAAACATAAAGCAAACCAAATTAAAACCATAACAGTAACGTTCCATTACTTAATAAAACAAGATATATAATGAAACTAACTGACTGCAGAAAACATTTACGGAAACTAAACGCAAACGGAGTTAAAACGGAAACTGGTAGATACTATAAGAACGAAGATAACACAAAGGTGGTGAAAGCATATACTACATTCGAATATGTAAAATGCTTCAGCAATGAGCAAAACCACCAAACAAAACGACTTAGACCTTCACAATCACTATGTCACAGTCATAGTCACCACAATATGAATTATGCCACAGAATGCCACTTGTATAGACAATGACCAATTTGAGACCAAGTACCCCAAAACTAAAACGGAGTCAAAAACCGCTGACGAAGCGCAACGGACACTGCAATGAGTTATAGTACAGAAACAAATTGATATTACGAGTGTTAATTTGAGAAGAGCTTTTACAAGAATAAATGAACGAAATTAGCGAAAAATTGAACGTAACCTAAACTAGAACCAGAACGCGAACCTGAACCTGAACTAAACCCATATGGACAAAAATAATGTACGGGCAGGTCAAGAAGCAAGAACCGAATTAACCTTACCACAGTAAACTTTAATACTCGAGTATCCCTTCAATTTACATTTACATACCTAAAATTAGAAACTTAACACTTAACATCTATCCATACTTGTACATGCCTGTTAAGACTTTTACTCATTATTTAATCGTTTATATTTGACAGTTTTATGAGAAAAATTAAACATTTTTCTCGCTGCTATCAAGCTGTTTTATGCAAAAAATTTCTGCAACAATATAGCCAACAAGTTTGGCATTTCATAAATATGTATGTATATATACAAAAATAAAAATATATATACATATGTACGTACTATTTTAAACGCAGATAATTATAAATATATAAAACAATATATAATTTTTCTCAAATAAAAGTTGTTTTATTCTGTATTACACAAGCGCTGGTAAGTAAAATTTCATAATTTGTTTGCTGAATCAATCAAAATTTAAATTGTTTTTATTTTATTTTATAATTAAGTAAACAAATTTAACTATGAGAATAGAATGGTGATGTGGGGAATTTTATGCAAATCCAACGGACAACAAAATTTAAGCCGACACTAAACACCGATTGTAATAGTGGTCATTATATAAATATACAGTTACAAACTTTGTCCCATAAAATAAACAAGACGCTACGGCGTTCGAATTATCCATTTCAGTTACTCTACGGTTTATTGATATTTTCGTATGTTCGTCTTACAAATAATCATATCCTATTTGAATGAAAAATATAGTTGTTTTAAATTATTTATTCATTTGTTCATATTAATTTATATAATTGCAAATTTAATAATAATAGTCTTCTTCCTTAGTTTTGTAATGAGTGCATTAGCGTAGATATGGGAGAATTCGTTTCTCCCCTCGCCAAACGGGTTCCCATATTAATATTAAACTATTAGCATTACTTTGACTACATTCATTAGGTCTGCTGTTATACACTGATTTTAACATTTTTATTAATAATAATTTCAATCAACTAAAAAAACAGACTTCGTTGAAAATGTAATTGTGTTACTCGGAAGTAGAGTGAATTTTGTCGAATCTATGATGCAGTGAAATAAGAGAAACGGGTTGTTACGATTAACATTGTTGTGGATAACTATTGTATGTAAATTATTATTTTCATAGTGTGCTAAGTTTCTTGTTGCTAAAGAACAATACGATCATTTTCGATTTAATTTAATTTAACAGTTGTAATTGTTATTCTAGCACACATTTCTATTGTAGTTCTTATTGTTTCAGATGGTCTATGAATTGATAATTCCTCTGAATGGTTGGTTCTTTGACTTTCTGTTGATTGATTGCTGACTTGGTTAGTTAATTCAAAATAATGTTCTTTGCTTCTTAATTTAAAAGCCGTGAACTTTCAACTGATCAGGTTTCGCTAGACCTGCCTTGGTCAACCATTGGCAGATATTTTCACGTTGATCGCCCTGAAGCTGTAATACCTCTCCGTATTCGGGATGTTCGATTACTGTGCCATTGCAGGCAAATTCCTTAAAAATATACAAACCAAAATGTACTTCATTCATTAACTCGGTATTAATTTGACTTACCTTTTTACATGATCGCACAATTTTCTTTAAATCATATTCTGATGACAATCCTTGCACAGTTGTTAATGTCTTTCGACCATTTCTCTGCTGAATTCTTATGTGTACAAGACCGTCCTGAACATCATCGTCAGCCCCCTTTATTGCATCAGCAAATGGGTCTAAAATGAACAAATATATTTCGAAATGCAGATGAGAAAAGCAAAATAAAAATATTTCTTTATATGCATAATAGAAAGAATAAAGAAAATTATGATTTTCCATTTTATACCATGTCAAATTGCAAGAACGTGATATTGACCACTGTTGCACCCATTTATATTAAATGCTTTTGACGGTGACTACGTCAGCGTTAACTTTGTGTCATTGCTTGCTGTAACTTATTGTTGCACAAAGCAAAAACTGAGAAGCATCGATGCTGACTCATCAAAATGAAGAAACATATTTATCTAGCTTAAATAATAGATATACGGAATATCTTAATATTATAATCTACATTCTATTGCTAATTTTTATCGTTCATACTCCAATGTAATCGTTATATTGTCTCCTCTTCGAACCATTTCCACACAAACGGCAGCCATTTTCTCCTCAGAATGTCGAGAAACGAGAAAACCCAAATTCACATTTTTTGCCGTTCCAAAAGCTATTTTTTATAGTTTAACAGTTGTCATCATGTATTCTCACTTACCAAATGTATTTAAATTCTGGATGGACATACGATATTAAAAAGCAACCGCAGCTGAAAATAAAAAAACCGTTCGCAATGATACTTTTATTGCGTTGAATTACTGAAAATTTTCACTTGTATTTTTAGTAAACGTGCGACGTTTCGAAACGCTCCAAATTAACAAATGTACGTACGTTCTCTGATGTGAATGTCTGAAAAGGCAACGAAACGCGTGTTCTTTCGACTTTTTTCCAAGATAGGAAACGAAACGAAATGGTATTTGTCAGATGCAATCTCGTACAAATCTGTAAGGAATCTATTACTCGGTATAAATTGAAAAATTTGCTGCCAGATTTATTAGAGAAATTATGAATTGCGAATATGTAGATCAAAAAAAATATTTTCAATCAAATATGTATGAAATTTGTTATGTGTTTGAAATTTTGAATTCCGATATTTAACCAGAGTACGTATAATAACGAGAAGGTGCAAATCGAATCTGTATGGCTTGATTGGACGACTAACACCGTAGGTAGGGAATTCACCATTTTCTAATGTTCTCTGGCAAAAAATATAAGTTCATTAAACGGATCTTTTTATATAGAAAATCTGTCTGCCTGCATAAAGAGAAAAAATTTTAAACAAAAAATAAAAGTCCCACTTCACATATGCGTGCTAGTTTTTTTTTTTATGATGGTAAATCGATAACATTTTTATTTTTTTACACAAATGCGAAATTGATAAAATGCGAAAGATTAGGCAAAAAGGTATTTATTTTTTACTTTTTTAATAAATTCTCTTTAAATCGTTATTATACATTCTTTGATTTAACATAAGTGCCGCCTGAATAGATTGAAGGATAACCTTGATTACAAGTTGGGGTAATAAAGGATGAAGATTACTCAAGCACTGTTTTATTAATCCAGAAGATTAAATGCATTGAAATTATTATTCATTACTATTAAAGCATAAAAAATGATTAATTAACGTAAGCACGGTTTCGATTGTCCAGTTTTACCGGGTAGGAATGCAAATGTCTTCAATCAGGATAAGGGCAGGCCACATTTCCTTAATTTAATGCAAAAATAATATATTTCTTTTTACTAGACCATATACATATATTTTAATTAAATGTCGTTATTACCAAGATTGTCAAATATGGACCGTTTGTAGAAATTAGATCAGTTACATCAGCCGCAGCGGCAATGTTGTTGCATTTTATGTACCATATGCATATGTCATATAAACATTCATAGTTCTTTTTACGACACACTTTAGATCACATTTAAGTAATGCAATTTGTTTGAAATATTAACGTATTCAACGTTTTATTATATATTTCAAGCTCTCTTTTGTTCAAATTGCCTAAGAAGTATTTGAACTTTAAATACTTAAGAACAATCTCAACTTATGCGAACAAAGTATTTAATAGTCGTATTTAAATATCGTCTTGGGCGTATAGTTTTAATGAATAGTTTTTACTATTAGTTAAAAGAAAGTACTTAAAGGATTCTTTTACAATACGTAATATCCACAGTAAAATGAAAATTTCAAGTATTTAATCGTGCCTTTATAAAGGCATTCACGTTAATGTACATAAAAAATAATAATGAAACTTATACGAGTAACACTGAGTGTGTATATTAGAAATAAATCTACATACATATGTGTATTAAACTAATTATAAATACTGGTTTTAAGATAATATTACTTCCTCCTTGATGTGGCCTAGTTCAAGTTTCTGGGAAAGTTCTGCTTCAGCAACACGCTTTTGAAGGTGACGCCATAGAGTGCTTTTCGGTATGTCAAATAAATTTGCTGCATGATTTTGCGACATTCCCTCATGTACACAAGCGTGCAACGCTTTAGTTAATTTGTCTTTAAGTTCAATTTTCGAGTTAACATCACGTTTCTTAAAAGAAACATAGTCTGGCAAACGTCCTTGCTGTGCTAAACGTACCTTATGTCTATGTAGTGTAGACATTGGTATATCTAATTCGCGACTGATATTCTTCAAAGAGTCGCCACCTTTTAATCGTTCGTAGGCCATGGTGAGAACAGGATTTTCACGGGTAGTTTTCATATAATTTGGGTGCTTGCGCACTCTCCGCCAAAGTACCGTTTTCGATAAATCATATTTTAGTGCAGCTTTCTGTAAGCTCATACCTTCATTTATTACTGCCTGAACGGCATAAAAAAGAGCATCTTCTTGAGTACCGGGTGCGGCGTTTAATGTGGTAAAATTATCATCAGTCTTTAATACTGAAATAGGATCTGCGGTGGGGTCAAGCGTGGTAAACATTGATTGATGTATTTGATCGGTGTCTGAAGATGATTGTGATTTAATTTTGATAGTTTTCATTTTTGGCGTTGGTTTTATTTGAATTAGCGGTTGTGGCACTTGCGTAGTAGCTGTTGTTGTGGCAGTCACTTTTGGTGTACTTGTCGCTGTAGTATTTGTGGTAATTTCAATTATAGGATCTGCGCTGTTACTGCTATATTCCTCTATGATGTGACCATCTTCCGTGGTATCCTCCATTTCAACAAGTTTTTCCGTATCAGAATTGGAGCCATTTTCTAGTTTATTATTTTGGGTTAATGTAAAGGTTCCAGAATTTTCAGTTAATATGTATTCGTTTGCTGCGCTGGCAACTGGCATATGTTCAATGGAGTAAGTAATTTTACTATGTTGAGCTTCGTTATATACATCCAAAAATTCCAGTTCTCTTTCATGTTGTATTACGTTTTGTGTCTAAGAAATATATGCATTAGTACATATTTTTGTAACTTTTTATATATTTGGTTGGGTTCTACTCACCTCGATCTTCTCGACAGCAATATTTTCTTGTTGTTCAATAAGCTCTTCTTGTGCAATTTGTATATTGCTTATAGTCTTAACTGCTTCTGTTGTCTGGACACCACCTGATAACGTTGCATTGTTGCACTCAAAACTTATAGCTGACTTGATACCCAAGGTATTTATAGCTTCCAAGAACTCTGATAAATTAGTCGATGTGAGGCTTGTTTCGCCAATGTATATAAAAGCTAATACACTGTCGAGCAGAGACCCTTTTATATCCGGCACTACAATTGTTGCTTCCTGCCCCATTGGAACATCCACCAGCAGATTGCGCAGCAAGTCTGAACATGATGATAAGACAAACCGATGGGCACGCACTGAATGACCTTTGGCTACCAGTGTCACCTCACAGCTTTGAGGATCATTGCGAAGATTTCTTTGTATATCAAATATTGTTGCCGAATGGCCCATCCATTTCAAATGATTCATTATAGTCGGATTCGCCGAGTATGTTTGTTGTGTTTTAATTTCAGTAATTTAGATTTAGGAACGTCAAATAGTTCTCTGGTCAAATTCTCTGAAAATTCTATCGACAAAATTTCGCTAATTCCACACACGCTACGGTCCGAAAATGAAATTTGAACCATTTTGGAATTTATTTGCCAGCGTTGCATTTTGTTTAATTTTTTTTTGACGTTTCAAAAGACGTAATGGTTAATTCACATAGAACTTTTACTTTGCTTTGTGTCAGACATCTGTTTTGACAGAAAAGTTCGATGCGCATAGCGTACGTTCACATAAAAAGCTTTAGGTATCTTTTACCCTTTGCCTAGCAACAGTCCTCATTTTGCAGAGAAACACTGAAAGCTAAGCATTAATTGTGGCAAACCCTTTGTTTTCTGCGCTCTGTTGTATCAATATGAATTGTTACACAATGCGAAGGAAGTTTTATGTGAATGGACGTTGACAGTGTTTGAAATTGATAATATTTTCCAGCGTAAACTTTTAAAGCTCTAAAAGAACTTATTATATTTTCAAGTTTTTATAACAACAATTAAGTATTATAATGTTGAATTGCCAATAGATAAAATTAAATAACAAGCAGTTGAAGTTACCAAAGCAGACAGATTTAAGTATTTATATATCTCGAATGTTATATATGCAGGATATTTATTTATTCATTTATTTCAATATTATTAAGTTTTTTCAACTGTATTGTGTCAAATTAGGAAAAATAGATATACTTATTGTTTTTTGTTTATTTATTTTTGTGGACAGTATGAAATGCAACAATGCTGTGGACATCTGACATTAGTATTTGACTTTTATATGTTGTTATATAAACAGCTGTCAAAAAAATAAGTTGCAATATCGGAATATTTGCTTAATCAAAAAGTGTGAAATGGCAGCGATAATTAGGAGAATAGGTTGCAGGGCAATCGGCAATTTTGCTGCTAAGAATGGTATGTATTTTAATTATATAACTTAACTGGATAATTTGCTTATAAATTCTGTTTTCAGTTGCTGCTCCCAAACCGGTGGGAGCAATCCGATTGTCCAGCACTACGCCTGCCCCACCAGCAGAAGACAAACGTGAGTTATTTGCTACGAATTTTAGTAATTACTTCACACTTTTTCTCTGTATATCCTTTCAGCTACTTTCCGCAAACCTAACGAAGCAGCACGCTTGAACTTAAGCAATTTTGGACGATATGTAGCCGAATGCCTACCCAAATATGTTCAGAAAGTGCAACTAACCGCTGGTGACGAACTAGAAGTTCTAATTGCTCCTGAGGGTGTAGTACCTGTTCTGCAATTTCTGAAAGATAATCATTTAGCGCAATTCAGTAATTTAGTGGATATTGCCGGCATGGATGTACCAAGCAGACAGTATCGCTTCGAAGTCATATATAATCTCTTATCGTTGCGATTCAATTCACGTATACGCGTTAAAACTTATACTGATGAGTTGACTCCCTTGGATTCATGTAATGAAGTCTTTAAGGCAGCAAATTGGTATGAACGTGAAATTTGGGACATGTACGGCGTGTTCTTTGCAAATCACCCCGATTTGCGCCGCATATTAACTGATTACGGCTTTGAGGGACATCCACAACGTCGTGATTTTCCATTATCCGGATATGTGGAGGTATTTTGTATATAACAAAAAAATTTTATGAAGTTATGATTTAATTGCAAATTTTTATAATTTAGTTGCGTTACGATGATGAGAAAAAACGTGTGGTCTGTGAACCATTAGAATTGGCGCAGGAATTCCGAAAATTCGATTTGTCAGCACCATGGGAACAGTTTCCAAACTTCCGTAATGCTAATCCACCAGCCGAGACTGTAGAAACCAAACAAGAGACTCCTAAAAAATAAACGATACATTTGAAATGTGGCATAGCTTGTAAATTGTTGCGATATGCAGAATTAATGTAACCCAAATATAATGTAAAATAATATATCGCTTCAAAGAATAAAATGGTTTTAATTAAGAAGTGGGGTTGATTGGCAGTTCTATATATTATACACAGATATGTATATGAAAAAAGTTTCTTCTAAACGGACTGGATTGTCATCAAAGCAATTTTTTCCAAAGTATTGAGACACATTTAAATTAATTTGTTTATACTTGTACTATAAATGCAAATTTGTATACACGCAAATTTGTATCGAATTCGTACAGTAGTCCGATTCTTATAAACAAAAATATTTTATTTGAAAAAATTATTTTAGATTCGAAAAAGAAGAAGCAAACAATAATTATGTTTTATTAATTAAAAGTGGCTATAACGGACTCATAATATTTTCTGGCATTTACTTCAGAGCTATTAAGGGAAACATTTTTTTTTTTGGAATTTTTAATTGCACAGTATAGAAAAAATGTAACGGACAATTTTATTCGACCCAGTCCTTATTAAAGTTATAATAAATTTTAAAAAATTATGTTTTCTTCTATGAATCTAAAGGTTTAATTTAATTTGCGATTTATGTCATGGCAACTCTGCTCATGCTTATATACACTATACTATAGTGTATCTCATATTAACAGGTTCTCAATGTACATAGATACTTAACATTAACGTTGTATTTGCTTATGTGGGTGCACCGGCATTGATGAACTCTTTACTTGCAACCCAAAAGATCTGAAGAGCAAACGGGAAGACCGGGCGGAAACTACATAGTCCTACTCGGGTTCTAGTTGTCACATTTCGAAAATATTTTACTAGATTGTTATCTCGGCACACAAATCATATGCAAATATCTGTAAATGTATATATACATACATATGTATATATGAATTAATTGTACAGAGGCATTGGTGTTGTGATTTCTCTGTAAAGACTGTTTGGACGCTCTTTCAATTATATATACATATGTATGTAAGTATGAATTATTTATTAGTATTATTAGAATGACAAAATGGGCATGGGATCATCAATTATTCAACGCGAATTTTGATTAAATAATATTTTTGTAGCCGCAAGCAGTGAAAATGCTGAGATCTGCTTAAAACAAAATCAAAAAGAAAAAATATAATAGTAACAGTTGTGATAAAAGTTATTGTGCAATGATATCTAAACTAAAATTGAGATAAATAAACACACATCTGTACATGTAGAAGGAAATAAAAAAACAAACAGTTACTTGTAGTATAGTAGAAAATTTATTTATTGTTAATTTATTATTGTGCTAAAATGACAATGGAAGCTATTACCAACTACTTTGAGAAGGGTATCGTGCTGGTTATTGCCGATTTGCTTAGTTTGATAACAGTGTCGTCTTGTTTGGTTATTAAGGTGCCACAAATCAATACAATACGAGCAAACAAGTCCTCACAGGGTAAATAAAATTAATTTGTTTTAACAGAACTATTAAAATAATAGCAATATTTGTGAATGCATTCTCACTGGTCTGAAGCTGACATTCATACATATGTACATTACTGTTCTTCTGTTAGTTTAGATTAGTAAAAAGTTTTTAGTAAATATTTTAAAAGGAAATAGTTTATATGCAAATATCCAAAAAAAAATTGCCAAACAGTATATGGTGGAATATACATATATATGTATGTATTATAAACGTATGTACATATATCTAAGGGGATGCAGGGCTAATTCCCCATTTTTATGTTTTTTTTTTTAATGAAACAGTTAAAATCTATATTTAAAAACTAATGGTGTGTTATAGTATGATGGGTTTTTCAAAATTTAAACTTTTTGTTTGTAAGATATAAAAATACTTATAAAAGTACTCAAAACTTGGAATTCTATTCGCGTCTTAAGAAATACTACTTTTTCTATAGTTTTGAATTTTTTTATTATTTTTATACTAAAAAAAAAAAACAATTATAAACTTTTTCTCCCTTTTTAGATTTAATAAGGATTTAAAAATATATTTCTTGCAGACCAGTTGCAGAGAAATGTTCTTATTAATAATTTTATAACAAAATAATTACAGATTTATAAGTATAAAATTTTGAAAATTACATACATAAACGTATTCAATATCTATAATTACAAAATGCATATATTTAATTTTTTATATTTTGAAGGTATTAGTGTTCTCGGTCTCTGCCTCGAACTCTTCAGTTACACCGTGATGTTGTCTTATAACTACAGTCGGGGTTATGATTTTCTATCGTATATGGAATACCCCATACTACTCCTACAAGAATATGTGCTTATCTACTATACTTTCTTTTATCAAAATTTATTGGGCGTACGTACGCAAATAGTGGCGGTGCTTTATGCTGTTGTGGCGACATTGATTTACTTCAAACTGTTCCCTCTACTGATACTGACATTTCTTGTGGTAAGATTTAGATTACTAGAGATAAGATTAATATTTTGTGATTCATTACAAAACATACTTACATTGCCATATATGTAAATTATATTGAAATGTACCCAACGAAACTTACTGCAAAAAGTTTTATTATGATATTACCGAATATTAGCGCATATTTGTTTTTTTTTATTTTGGAAAATTCAAATATTTTTTTAATTTAGAGATTTTCGTGTTAAAAATATGATTATAATATAATTGACTTTATTTGCAAATTTGTTAAAACATATTTATATAACATGTATTTATATTTTAACAACTCCACTGCTGGTTGTTGAGCTGTTCCTAATACGTAAAATAAATAAATAATAAATTAATATATAGTAAAGCATACTTCAGGGCGCGTCGTAAAAATGTTTTTTAATGGTATTTGCATCATTATTAAATGTTTGCTAATTTTCAATCTTGGTGTGTTTTCAGCCTTTTTGTACACCAATCGGTGCTACAAGTAAAGTCTTACAATTAATTGCAATTCTACGAACAAAGGACGCTTCTTCTGTCAGTCGCACAACTTGGGCGCTATCAGGATTCACCAATTTAAGTAATTACATAAAGAATGAAAAAATCAATGTGTTAAAATTTATTTTATTTTTCTAAACTAACCATTTAGCTCGGATCTACACCGTTTACGTGCAATCAAGTGACATGATGCTGCTAAGTAATTTCTTAATATCCACCTTCTTAAGCTCGTCAGTATTTGTTGCAGCTTGCATTTACAAGAAAAAAACAAAATCCGAATAAGAAAGTCCATTGGAGGATTTGTTGTTTTGTTTACATATTTGGCAAATACAAAAACTGCAATTTTGCCTTTACTTGTGTGAAATGAAAACTAGATATGGATAAAAGAGTTTAGCTCAAATTTATAAATAAATAAAGTGTCTGTTAACTATTTTTAAAGAGCGCTTACGTAGTCTTTCGTTTATATATTCTGTACATATATATATTTTGGAGTTGAAACACTCACCTAAAATATTTTTGTATAAATTTCGCAATACATGCACATTTATTATTTCATAAGTCACCTATTTTCGTAAATATAAAACTTGATTACTATATATACAAATATTGTTTAATACACTTATTAACTATCGGCATAGAAAGCTACAGCAATAGCTAAAACGATTGCTAGTATAATACCAGCATAAATGCTTAATAATTTCCAATTTATCTGCCTATCTGTTTTTTCTACTACGACCTTACGTTCTTTGTATTTACGTTTGCTAAATCTCTTCTCAAATTGTTCAACTTCTGCACGATTTTTCGCCTCTTCTTGTTGGCGTAATTTTTCCTGTTCCCGTTTTAACTGTTCTGCCAACTTGATGCGTGTCTCAATGCAAAACTCATCACAAGGAATTGATGTTTGACCAGCACGATGCTTATCACAGGCGATTTCAGCTTTTAAACGTTTACATTCGCAAAATATACGTACTTTTTTGCGACACAACTCCGGGTTTGGACACTTTCCCGGATGACAAGGTGTATGACAGCGATGACCGCATGGAAACTGAAACATATTGATTTTATAATTACTTGGTATTAATTAATTGTCATCTTTATACGCTTACCGTTTTGAGGCAACGATTTCCGCAGCTGTTCAGGCGTTCCTGTATTAAAGCAATTTCCTCTTTGGTTCCTTCGACTCTAAAATATTCTGAACACTTGTAGATTAATTGTGTTAAACCACAATAACATTTGTTTTTGATCATTTTGTCACATGGATGACATGGCGGAGCGTGACAAGGTCGAGGACAAGCATGCTCACAACCCGCTGGACGGGGTATATTGCAGCCATCTTGGCATGGTGCGCAGCCGAGTTGCTCCTGAATAATAAAAATATAAAACTTATTTAAATTTTTGTTTAAAAATGTGTAGGCTACGAAAGTTGTGGAGTGCTATATAGTGTCACACCTTCATATCTTTCAAGTCGGGCACGGAATGGCATATAAGCCCACATTTGTGGTTACCACAACGCAATGCACGATTACATTTGCGTTGACAGGATGTAGGTTTTGAATTCCAACAAGGCCAATCAGCTATTTCATGGCCACCAATACATGTAACTTTCACCAATTGTTCACATGGTGGATGCGGTTGCTTTTTGAATTCAAACTGTGTGCAAAAATAAATAATAATGAGATATGTATATGTACATACAAGTTTTAAATTTATTTATTTATTATATACCTGTTTGCCTTGATGCCACACATTTGCAGCGCCGTTAAGCGGATTTTGTTTGAAAACTTTAACAGCGGCATGGCATTTAGCTTCGCATATATGCAGACACCCAGTGGTATCATTTACCTGTCCACATTTTTGATTACAAGGAGGACATTCGTTTTTATGACAGCGATGTTTGATTGGATGGTGACATTTTGAAGGAATACTGTAAATCTAGTGTTAAAGGAAAAATTCAATAACCAAAATATGGATATTTTCTAACCGGCATAATTCCATGCACATAACGCGTGCTGTGCGTTCACGTCCACAAGGCACACGTTTTGATGTTTTTCCACAACGACAATTTACTTGTGATTGTTGACTACAAGGATAACAGGGTCCTTCATGACAAACCGACTGGCACTTGTGTTTTTGACAAGTGAGTGGTTTTCCACATACTTTATCACATTGTTGACAACTGCGGCCATCACAACACTTCGATATAGAAAATAAATAAATTGCAATAATTTTGTTTAACTAAGAGGCACACTTATTATTAATTATGGTATTAATTTTTATTCACCTTTTTGTTACAAGTGTGCTTTCCACAATCTCGCATTTGCTTGCATTTGGTTTCACATGTAAAGATTTTCCAACACGGCAATTCCTTTTCATGTATGCCACAGCGACATTTCTTTTTTGTAATAATTAAACACTGCAACAACATACATATATGTGAAAATGCGTGATTTCGGCATACATTTTGCTTTTTAACTTACCAAATTACACTCGCCACGATGGCAACGTTGTGTGCAAGTATGCAGCCCACACGATAATAGTTTTTGACAAGTATCACCGCAAGGATCAATGGTTTCGATACAGGGTACGATTTTTTGCTATTAACAAAGAGAATTTGTTAAAAATGCAAATCAATAGTATACTATGATTTTTACTTACGGTTTTACCACATGGACATGAACGTGGTAAACTTAAAGGGCAATCTCCGCAAGGTCCCGAGTGGCATACGCGTTTACACACGTGTGCCCCACATGAATATTTAGAACCGCAAACCTAGTATAATTAAATTGAGAACTGGCAATAATTTTAGATTAATAATTTTCTCACCTTTTTGCAATGCCATTTAAGTTCAGAACAATTACGTTTCTTTGTCTCAGCACCACATTCGCACGGTTGTAAACTGGTACTGGTACATGGTGGACACTGATTGGGCTTATGACATATTTCCTTACATAGATGTTCGCCACAGGGCAGTAATTCTTTGCACTATTGCAACCAGAAATGTATTTTGTATTTTAAAAAGTATGCTATATGCTTTGTGTGTTATGTATTTACCTTTCTGTCACATTTCCACTGTTTATCTATACAACGCACAGATTTTTTGGGAGATTGACCACATAGACAACTGGTAGAGGCATATTGAGAACAGGGCGGACATGGACCCGGATGACAAAGTAACATACATGTATGACCACATGTTGGTTGCAAATTTTTACCGCACATTTCTCCACAAGAATGCGGCAATATAAAAGCTCCAGGACGTGGATTTTCTTCTTTTTCACAAAAGCACTTATAAGTGGCCGGTTTCTCTTCCAAACTGTAATCTTTGCGACACTGCGGACAACTCCAGTGCAATGGTCGCTTCCGCTTTGGCGGTACGAATTGTCCAACATTATTGTAGTAACCCTGTTCATTGCTTGTTTGTTCAGCGGACGCTTTCAGCTGCGCGATACTATCATTTGCCCATCGTCGTATACAGTTCAAATGGAAGAAACAATAGCAATGTTTACAAGTCCATATCGAGTCAGCTCGGCGCACGCTACCAATACAAATTAGACAAGTCGCTGATCCTGAGTGCAAAGCGTTTTCAAAGAAGGCAGCAGTTTTTTGTTGTAGCGCTTGTTGTATACCTAAACGGCTGTCGTCAGACTTGTAATGCTTAAATAGGGAATCTAACAATAATAAATGTATTTTATCTGTATTTTCATGGAAATATAAGTAAAGAATACCTAATATTTTTGATTCATTAAGCTCCTCTTCCTCTTCATCCGAGCTAGAAGAATATTTTTCTACTATCTTTTTTGCGGCAGCTATATTTCTGGCATGTACTTCTTCAAAACGAGTTGGTCCATTCGGTTTTTGTTGATTTGACTTGGAGCCTCCTTTCATTTTTTCGTTCTTAGCAGAAAAAACAGACATTTTTTTTAGAAGTTGTGAAGTTTTCTGTTTCTGACGTGGGAATTAAAACAATTTTCTGAACCGGCTGTTACAGAGCCGCTTCAAGGTTACCAGAAATTTGTAAGATATTTAATTTTTAGGGTATTTTTCATTTGCCAACGAAATATTAACTATGAATTTAGACGCTTAAACGTTATAATAATAATTAATATATGCTTCATGGAATAAATGTTATATTTAAATTTAACAAAATCTCTATATAATATATATTGATAGAAATTCCGTAGTATCCAAATTAATAGAGATAAATATTTAGTGTAATAAATTATTAAAAAAGACCTCTGTATCGTAATAGAAAAACAATATATATTTACTATAAAATATAAATCACATTTTATTTTCGTTGTATATGTGTAAAAATGATAACACAAAATTTTTATAAAATATAACATTATGTATATATCAAAATTTATACTTATAGTAGGTATGTAGCAGTTACATTTATATTTGCTTCTTGCTACTCCTGCGAATAACCAGGATTAAAAAATAATTTGTAATTAAAACCAATATTACGGAAATTTCCCATTTGTATACTTCCGTTTTCAGAACAGATTTCACTTATGTTTCTCTGTACAATTTTTAATATATCCTCAAAATGTGTATCATGCGCATGTTCAGCTATTGCCTTACAAAGTCTCTGAATGTACCAAGAACCTGTAACCGGATCTCTATAAGATTTAAATCCCTTATTAGTGGCGTAGCAAATTAGTAAATCCGACAACTCTGGATTGCGTTTCTCATTTGAAGTAAAAGGAATGGTATCAGTCTCTGTTTTGGCTTTTATTCCCTTGTCTTGCATAGAACCACGACAAAACGGAAATATAAGAACCTTTGGTTTTTGCATTAAATTGGGACATCTTCGGTTGGAAAAACGATCAATGACTTCTTGCACTTTTACGACCGATTTATCACTAAATAGCACGATTTCTTCATTTTTATCGTTGAGTTCGCCATGACTCATAAATGCTAAGACAAAAGATTCTGTTTTAAGTGTAACATCCGACTTTAACAACGTTTCCAGTAAATCGAAAAATCCCTTTTGAGTACCATCTGTGGTTCGGTATATTTTAAAGCCCAATTGTCTGAACACATATACGAGTATATCACTATCATTTGAGGCACCATTGCGATAATCAGTCTCAAATTCTATGTAATTGGCTATTAAAAGGACTCCTCGGTTTTGATTCGACTGCATTTTATACGTTCCAATTCGTTCACATGTACTGATATGGTTGGCTTTTGTAACTTCATATTTTACTTTTGGATCAACTGATTCCAAGAACCCTGTTAAGCTAGATGGAGAATTTTCATCAACCTAGAAATTTAAAAACGAATATATTAGTTCACTCCTATAACTTAAATATTTTAACGAATACCCTTGTGTGCACGCTATCAGGTATGTCAGTCGCCTGCGCTGGAATTAATTCAATTGGTTTCTCTGTAATACTTTGCATAGGTTGTGGCAAATTCTGGCGATATTCTCTGATACCGTTAAATTCTCTCTGTCTTTCCAAAACTTGAAGCGCTTCAACATTGTCTAAATCTTTAAGAATTTGCTTCAATTTTTCGAATGCTTCCGGACCTCGGTGAGTAATTTTGTCAAAAAGTTTTTTGTGCATAATTTGATCTAAAGTTTGTGATCCTCCAATATCTACCATACTTTTAGAATCCAAGTGAAGATTACAAACCATTTGCTGGGAAAGTAAACCCTCCCTCCTACAAGCTTGAAGTAGAGGCTTCAATTCAGTGTGCTGTACAAGTTTGTTAATGTTTTCTTTTATTATTTTCTGATGCTTATCATCCATTTTTCGCGTTAGAAGTGGTTGACAATGAAATTAAATTAGTCAGCAGCTAAAATGGTAGCAATGTTGACAATGACAATGGCCTAGAACAAAAAGCTCTAATTCCTGGGAATATTCGACTATATTAGCTTGCAAAATGTTTGTATTATTAAGCACCAAATATGATTTGCAATTAAAATTCGTTATATTCTTTTCACAGTAATCGAATTATCCTTTTTTAATAAAATGTTGCTCCTTTATGATCAACAAAGGCCTGCACAATTTACAATTTCACCACTACACAATGGTATTTTTTAGAGCTGCAAAACAATCGATGGGACTATCGATAGTTTTATTTTCATCACATATCGATAGTTTTTTTTTGTCTATCGATGGTTTATGCCTGTATTATATTTACCAACAATTTTTATATATGTATATAATATATATATATAATGATATAGTCAGGTAATACCAAATGTGAAGAGTCCCAGCAAGTCCGCACGGAAACTGAATACAGAGATGAGATTAAGAAAGAGATGAACGATCACACGTACACAAGAGTTTCGGTTAGATATTTCAATTGCGACTAAAGAAACTCATAGAACCTTTAACAGAATCTCTCACAGCGCTGTTGATTAATTAGCCGTTGATTTAACAGATATGGTAGCCTCAACATAATCTTTTTATTCTTGGCTTGGTTTCATATTCGTAAGTACAGAAAAATTTTAAAATATTATACAAGTTATTAAATTTAACTATTTTTAATAATTTAACTAGGTGCTGTATGCGGTAGAAAGAATGTTGTGGTAATATTTAAAATAGGGTAAGAATTTCTAATGCTCTGCAATGATGACTGCACATACCCTCAGTTATTCATACATGCAGACGCAATTCAGAATTTTTTACACTACGGGTTTCCAATATTGTAATAAGAATGAAGAACCGTGGAAAAATAATAATTGTAAGGAAAACTCCATTTTATTTTGTACTCCTGATTTTGGAGAGTAAAGTTATGAAATTGAAACATACTATGTGAACATTCGAATATCACAATATATGTACATACACACGAAAGCACTAGTCTGCCTACAGTGCAATAAACGAATACCACATTAATTAATTTTAATTTTACATAGTCGGAGTGAATGTTTAGCCAGGCTGGATTACTAATATCAGCTAGGAGAACTGCACTAAAGGTTAAAAACGTCAACAAATTACCATTTTTAAACAAAAACAAATGGATTATTGAGGAACAAAGTATTCTACCGAAACGTTGATCTCTCAGAGCAGTAACATGAAAAATTGTCTATGTAACTTTATTAATTTTTGTGTGTTCTATGTTATTGTTCACGCTTTGTTTTTATAAATAAATTCAAAGATTATTTTATAAAAATGAAGTTTACAAAGCCAAGGTCTTTTAATTTAAACCAGCGCAAAGTAAGTAAATTTTAAGGAAAAAACTATCGATCCTATCAAATATATTTTTTAAAAACTATCCAAACTGCCGAGGGCGAACTATCGATATTTTTGCAGCTCTGTAATTTCAGAAATACTCAAGGCGGATTCACTCTTGACAACTATCAAATATTTTTGGTTTATTATAAATTTGAATGATTTTTACGTTTCAATTACTACATTTAATGAATGTTGATCTAAATATATTGGTTATTTTTGTAAAAAAATTAATAGTTTATGAATATTAATATATCAACTTAATCCTTCATTCTTTTAATGTATAGTTAGCATAATCTCGTTAGCAACCCTAAGAAAAATGTCAAAGAAAAGGGGAAGAAAATCGGCAAATTCTCCATTGTAGCGCGTGCAAGATTCATCAAGTTATTTATTTGTGAAGAAAATTAATAAGACTTTGAAATTATTTAAGAAATAATTTTACTATTGTAAGTTCTCACAACCGCTATTTTATGTGAATTACTTTTACAACATCATATGACCGTTTGTTTGTTAAAACCAGACATCTATGTGATGCTTAACCTCGAAGTATTTAGTGAATTTGGCCTATATAACAGTTGCGATAAATGATAATTCTGATAAGAGCAATTTTCAGCAACAAATTTAAATTGTATTTATAAAATATCAACATTAAAATCATGCAAAATGTAAAGTAAAATTTTCCAATATTCATTAAGGAGTATGTTCAGTGTTCAAATATATCTGATGTATTCCCTAATGCATCCCTGCATGAGTTTGTTAAACGCGTGTGTGGATGTGATCAACCATTTTGACGTGAAATAAATTACTACGTTTTGATTTGTCAATGAAAGTACATATGGTGTTAAAAAAAGCTGAATTGTGGTTGTTTTGTTTTGCTATGTTCTGAACAATTTTCTGTTTCTATTTCGTTAAGGTTTTGATTTTATATTTAGATTAAATAAATGAAATAATGAATTTTCATACAATTTTAGCAGTAGTCTTTACTGTTATAGGGTCAGTTTCCGTCGTAACCGTGTTAATTTTGCTAGGTAAGACCTATATAGCTGATTATGTATTGTATTGACCTTTAATATTTGTGAGAAAAACTACAACTAAATCGTAATAATTGGTTCATACAAACTTTGACCCCCTAGTAGCTGTCAGGGTACATTGAACCCTATGCCTATTCAGTAATAGAATATTAGAAATGTTAACAATTAGATTCCTTTTTTTTTGTATTATGACATGAATCAATATGTGGCATATACAAAACTAATTTTTGTCTTATAATTTTAGGCTGGTTTCTCATTTGGAAAGCATTTTTATCAAAATTCCGACTTGTACGTGAATTATTGGGTCAAGAAAACGGTGATGAGGTGCAACCTATAGAGCAGCAACCTCATATAAGAGCGAAAAAAATACGCCGAGATTAATATCAGTAAACTGTGAACAGTTCCACGAACAATCGAAAATAGGCAAAGTAGTTAAAAATAACTTAATCAAATAACTTTAAGTCTTACTAAGAATTTATACTGAAAGTGCTACAACATGAATATCCGCTGTGCTAAACCTGATGATCTGATGAGTATGCAGCACTGCAACTTGCTCTGTCTGCCTGAAAATTACCAAATGAAATATTACTTTTATCATGGGCTTACTTGGCCGCAGCTCAGCTATGTTGCTGAAGATGACAAAGGTAATATTGTAGGCTATGTGCTGGCCAAAATGGAGGAACCTGAACCTGGTGAAGAAAGTAAACATGGTCACATTACATCATTGGCCGTAAAACGGTCCTACCGCCGACTGGGATTAGCACAAAAGCTGATGAATCAAGCCTCACAAGCGATGGTTGAGTGTTTTGATGCCCAATATGTTTCGCTGCATGTGCGTAAAAGCAATCGCGCCGCACTCAATCTCTACACAGATTCTTTAAAATTCAAAATAATTGAAATCGAACCGAAATATTATGCCGATGGCGAAGATGCATATGCGATGCGTCGTGATCTTAGTGAATTTTCAAAAAAAGAAAATTCCGAGGAGTCGGCACTTGATTCCAAAGCTAATACAGCAGATGGCGGTGAAAAGGATAAAATCAACTATAGGCAAGCAATCACGCATGATCACAGCGGGCATGATGGACATTGTTGCTAAAGCAACGCGTTATTAGAATTTAAGGTGTTCCTATGCAATTCGGGTATAATTTTGTATTTATATATTTTTCGGAATTTTTAATATCTCTCAATAAATTTGTAATAGTCCTTGATGGATTTATAAATATAAAATATGAGTAATATACAATTTATAGATTTTTATTTTGTATTGTAATTTGTTTTCGGTAACTAATAATATGGAAAGTACTTTAAACATGTGATACTGTGTATGACTACACTTTGATAGACATCTTGCAAATTTTTTATTGGTTAATGTACCGACAATACTGATAACCAGATTAAAAATAGTTTAATAAAAGTTAACGAGTATGACGTAAACTAGCGCCTTTGTATACATCTTTATTTTATAATGAAATTGGATAACTGTTATATGACTGCCAATGCGGCACCATTCCTCGAAATTATTTCTAGAATGTTTTCTGGCGCTACTACTACAACAACAACAAGTTCTAGTTTACACTAAGAATTATGCAGATCGTTCTAATAAGAGTTGGCCCCCATAATACACCGGAATACTAAACATTTTGATAGTTTGGCAGCCTTTGTGAATTTCAGCACTGACTGAATGTAAGAAAACGTTCAAGTGAATTTAAAATAGCTAAGGCATTAGAATTGCTAAGCTAATTAGAATTGAATTAATTTGTACGTACCATTAACCTTGATGGTTTTAAAGAATCTTAAAATTTGTTTTTAAGAATGCACCGTTTACGCACATTTATGGTATTACAATTATTTAGTGTCAGGCCGTTATAAAAATGAAATTAAAAAATATTTTTTAATAAAGTTATTTTTATATATTAATGCATATGTATGTTACATGAGCGATGTACAAAATATATTTCGAAATGACCACCTTATGCACTCAAATGATTCGGTCGCATACACATCACCGCAATACGATTTGGCTTAGTTCCCCTCTCCATTTTAGGAAACGAAAGCAAACACTGAACTGATTATTATATGTATATGACACTGCATACAAAATATAATAAAAAATTACGGCACTATTTGCAGCGAATTTGTCTTCGCTGCATGCATTGCAAACTTTTTAACAGAATTTATGGCAAGACTAAGTACATACATAGAAATAATATTACACAACCAACAAGTTATAAATAAATTTACTTGAAAAATTCATAAAGTGTTCAATGAGCACGGATTTTTTTGAAGATCACTTATGCTAAATTAGTCAGGTGGAAACGTTCGTAACTAAATAATGAATAATGTATATATATTTACTTAAAAGGTATTCAATGTTGAAAATTTCTTTTTCAGTTCTTCAGTTTTCCTTATTTTGATATATCTACTTACTGTGATAAGGGTGGATACATTACCTTAAACGACTTAAATATTGACCGATTTTATAGTATCATCTGGGGACTCCTTGTATGCCATAGGTTTGGTATGTCGGGGTCGATTTTGCAGAAGTAGGAGTTTAAGCTGCTATGGTATTTTTGTGAAGCAACTCGCGCTCGTCCTCAATGGGTGGTGAATCATATACGATTCCCTTAAGCTCTAAGCTTTTACGAAAAAAATCTACGGGGCTTTCAGGATATTCGACATAGAGGGCTATTTTTTTATGCCCAATAAGAAGGACAAAGTTCTTACGTGTCTTTAATCATTAATTTTCCAGCTGTTCCTTGTCTATATGAAACTAAAGCGAAATAAAATCACGCTATGTATATACAAACATAAATATGTATATAATATGTATAAATATATAATTTTAATACCCTCAGCAAATGTCAGGAAACTCGCTTAATTTCAACTTTAGACTGTCACCAAGCTGACTTCTCATGCCAAAAAGCAGAAAAAAGTGGATCAATTTGAACTACTAAATGTAGACTTGTACACTTTTTTAAAATTCACTTTTTGACTACGAAGCGTACGCAAGTAATTTATGCGAAAAGTTTTGTTTCGACTAGGTACGCGCCGATTAACCATTTATGTGCGCCACTCAGCGCCGCCGTCCTCTCCATCACCGTTCTGCGTTCTACTTTGCATGCATTTGAATTAATGCATTTGACAGTTGGCCTCAGGACATGACCATTATATTGCTTACGAAACGAAAAATGTTAATAGCATTTGTGCAAAAGTTTGTCCGCCACTTTGGTGACACCGTTCAAACGCAGCGGAAGTGGGATGACGATGTTAAGCGGTTGTAGCTACTTTCGTAACATTATAAGTGTTGTGTTAGTCGCAATGTTACTTGGCGGTGAATTTTTATATTTATTTATGCTTATTTTTGACAATGTAACGTTGGAAATATTACAATTAAATATAAACATAAATATCATTTGAAACACTTTGAGTGCCGAAAAAATAAATATATATATATAAATGCAGAATTTTTTAATATTATTGAAGTTTTTTGTTATTAGACTGTGTGGAAAATTTAAATTTTTACTCCAACATTCAAACCCACACATACAAAATATTTAACAATTTACATTACTCATACGCAGTGTAGTTACCTGCGACAAGAGCAGAGTAAAAACGTTAAAAATGTGTGCGATTGTTTGATTCGCTCCAAAATATGTTTATACGGAGCTATAGGAAGATATGAGTGCAAGTCATCAGTTTTAGACGAAATACTCTCACTGTATTTTATATAGGTATTTCAAGAAACAGAGAGTCTTGCGGAAGGTATGAAGCTTATTGAAGAAGTATTTGAGCGGAGCAAAGCATTCAAAGAAGGTGGTGACTTGAATATCGTCGTGTTGGCAGCAGTGAGATAGCATAGAATTTCAACATCTCTTATAAATCAACTCAACACATTTTAGTTAATGTTTTGGGTATGAAGCGTGTCAATGCTAGATTCGTACTAAAAGACTTGAATCCTTTGCAGAAACGACGTCGAGTAGAGGTCGCAAAACAGATGCTTGAAGCACTGAAGGCTATCCTAGCCGAGGCTTAAAACAAGTTTATGGAAAATTGTAGGCGATTATAGATATTTGTATTGAAATGCGTAAATATGTTGTTTTTTGTCAGTCCGGGTTAAATTTGATCCATTTAGTAATTCTATATAAATTATATTTTCATACTCCCATTAATCTTTTGCTCAAAAAAGTCCTCACTTCTTACCAGCGAACGTTCTTGAGAGATCTGAAAAACGTCGCTGCAGACTAGATTCTGAGATTATGCTGGATGCGTAAGCAATTTGATGCCCAAATCCATCTCCATTTTAGCGTGCCAGCAATTCCGATTAACATGCTTTTTATTGTCATTAAAAATCATTTTGTGGATTGTTTCATGTTTTCGTCCGTAGCAATTGCCCGACAGCTGTGCAATTTGTACACATGACTTGTGAAGGTTAGGTCTAACCTCACTCAAATTCTAGTGGCTTCTTCCCATAAAAATATATGATTTTTTCGGCCTGTTAAATGTATTTTTAAAAGTATGTTCGTTTGCACTTATATATGTACATACATATATGTATGTATGTGAAAAGAATTAATTCACAAAGTTCTCACGAACTTTATTTTCATGCGAGCTGCCTTTATTGTTTGAAATTCTAGAGTACTTAATTTGCTTACTTTGACTTCATGCATTCGTCTCATATACAGATATATCTACATACATACATATGTACATAGTATGTGTTCGAGTGCATGAAATTATGCACTTCTCATTACGCTTGAAGTAAACATTAATTGCCATGTATATATTGTAGAGTCACCAGCATTTCGGAGCGCTGAACTTTTTGGAAAAACACTTTCACTTACATTTGAAAACCCAAACAAAATTCATGAAACTGAAAATTACACAAACACAGAAAACTTTTTATGTGTATAGCATAAATTTGCACTTGATTTAAAGTAAAACGGTTGACTTTTACAACACACATAGTTATAAGTGTACACGCAGACTCTTACATGAAAGACGCTTTTTTGGTTTTAGCTGTAGTGAGGAATTAATAGCCCATAAAGGTAGTTTTGTTATAGTGTACATACATACATATATGGAACGACAAATGTACTCACTGTCATGTATTTAGTTAGGTTATGTCATAATGTGAAAAGGACTAATTTGTCAACACAAGCGGCTAAGACTTCATAATGTAATAAAATAGAAAGGAAGTTAAGCAATACTGATGCCATTTGGTGGTATTTTAGCACATTTTTATGGTTTTAAGGTTTTTAAATATAAGAATACATACATATGTACAGTTCTGAATCGAATAAAATGAATAGATGTAACTATAACATGTAATAACGGACTAAGTTAGAGCTAAAGCGTATTTAGTAATATACTAAAATTATCAAATAAATGCAGGTTTACCATCTGATCAAATGTAACCCGGACTGACAAAAATATATTTTCACGTATTTTAATACAAAGTTTTATTATCGCTTTCAAAATAGTTTTCTGAGGCAATATAAGAATGACAATGCTTAATGAAATTTTCCTTACACTTTTTGCCAGGGATGACCTTCAGAGCCTTCAACGAGTTTTGGTTTTTTGTTGTTGGCGAAGTCATGTTAATAAGTCCACGTCTCCTCCCCAGTAATGATAGAGTGCTCAGTTTTGGTTTTTTGTTGTTGGCGAAGTCATGTTAATAAGTCCACGTCTCCTCCCCAGTAATGATAGAGTGCTCAG